GGTCTGTTGTGGTAAAGAAGGGCTGAAAGTCAAAGCTCTCAATTTACCTGTCAATCTACATTCCTTCCCTCATCTATGGTCATGAACTATGGGTTATGACTGAAAGAACAAGACTCCAGATACAAGTGGCCGAAATTAGCTTTCTCCACAGAGTGGCAGAGAGGCAAGTCTGGGCCTCCCTGTTCAGACTGCTGTCCCTGCGACCCTGTTCCAGAACAGTTAATAAACCTTATTATTGTAGTGTTATTTATCAGTAAAACAGGGAAACATTATCGACAGGACTGATTAAGTAGATCAGTAGTTATCAGTAGATCAAGTAGATGAAAGTTGCCAGTGAAGTTAATGAATAACAACACAAAGTCATCAAAAAATGTGTTCATGATATATCCTTTACTTACTCACAAGGGGTCGAGTGTCCCTCGGGCAGTGAGCACAACCACTGTGGCCCTGCTTGTCCTCAGCCCACTTGCCAGAACCCTGCTGGCTCAGGAGGCTCCTGCAATGAGACGTGTGTGGAAGGATGTTTCTGCAAACCTGGCTTTGTTCTTAGTGGAAATCAGTGTGTTCCTCTCAGTGAGTGTGGATGCACCGATGAAGATGGAAAGTACCGGCCGGTAAGTGCGCCTGTGCTGAACAGCAAAGTCTTTTGACTTAGCACCAGAAACAATTTTGGCATTTTTACCATGTCCTCGGTCTCTCTACTAGAGCCATATTATCTTAAAATCTATTTAAACATATATATTTCTATGTATGTATGTAACTCCGAAATTATGTTTGGGGAACTTCCACCTCGTTGTTTTAAAGCTTATAACAAATTAGTTTTAGGCTAACTTGAAATTGTTTTTTGGTAGTTTTTCTTTTTTGTTTGTTTTTTTTGCAATTTTAAACTTACCCAAAGAGTGAGTTGTTATAGAAAAACAAAGGAGGTGACCAAGCCTTCACCAAGTGACCATTTGTTTTAATTATTAAGCTCAAAATGTAAAACAGTAAGATTCCAAATGTTCATTTGATTTAACATTTATATGTAGCTTTAGAATTCAGACTTGGATAAAAAAAAGTTTTTTGTCTACATCGATTGTCTAGGCTTTAGTTTTTGTCACTTTAAAAGTAGTAAAGTTTATTACAATAAAAAAAGTAAAGTATAAAATAAATGAATTGGATTACAAAAGCAAATAACATTAAAAGCTACAGAATGTAACTTGGTGTCATGTTGACCTTACTGATTCATCACTGTGTGTGTGTTGAAGGTGGGAGATGACTGGTACCTGGAGGGTTGTAAGCAGAAATGTGTGTGTCGTGGTGGGGGCAACATCGAGTGTAGTAACACTACATGTAATCCAGTCACTGAGAGCTGCCAGCTACACGAGGGAGAATACGAATGCAGACCCGTGGGTATGTCCAAGTAATACACACACAAACACACAAATACACATCCAACAAGTCCACCTTAAATGTAAATTAAAATAAATGGATTGAATAGACTAAAATATTTTTTATTTAATTATATCATATAAAATGTGTTATTAAGAGTATTTACTCTACATAAAGAATAGCAGTTGCATACTAATGATGTTCACACAACTCCAGTGCATACTACACCAAAACCAACAACTACAGTGCAGACTACACCAAAACCAACAACTCCAGTGCAGACTACACCAAAACCAACAACTCCAGTGCAGACTACGCCTAAACCAACAACTCCGGGGCAGACTACACCTAAACCAACAACTCCGGTGCACACTACACCTAAACCAACAACTCCGGTGCACACTACACCTAAACCAACAACTCCGGTGCACACTACACCTAAACCAACAACTCCGGTGCACACTACACCTAAACCAACAACTCCAGGACAAACTACACCAAACCCAAGTATGAAATTTATTCATATAACTGTAGGTGCAACGGGTCGAGTGCTGCTTAGGAGCACTCGGTGTTATCAACCAGTTTCAAATTAATAACACAACCAGTCTCATTAAAGTTATCTTTAATTATTATTTTAACCTACTAATATAGCAATAATGTATTACTTGAAGTATTACAAATATACTAAAATCAATAGTCTTCAATAACAATTAAAATCTGAAGGATTTTGAGAGTTCTTGGCAAGTGAAGCAGTGGGATTTTGGGAATAAGAGTTTTAACTGGGCTGTGGATGTACCTACATATCCCCGCTTTGGTCTTAGGGATATGCCAGAGTCGTAACCCTGAGATCATGAAGTTGTACAGTCCATAGGTCCATAGTTCATACTCCGTTATCATCCACATTGTCCTTTTAGTCCTGTAAAATCTCAGCAGAAGCTGAGTCCTGAAAAAAAAGTTCAAGGCATGGGCATTTGGGCAACATTTAGGCTATCAACATTTGGGCACATTCTAAATTGACTAACACTAAACAACGCATCTCTAAATACAAAACACACTCAATGAAAGGGGAGTGAAGGAAAAAAAGAAGTAAACAAGATAAGGGAGAAGAAAGGTTAGTCTTCAGGAAAGGTAACAGCCGCTTGAGATTTAGCCAGAAATCATGCACTGCTGCTGTGAAATGGTTAGGAATGTTGCCAATCTTGTCCAGTTTTGTGTGTAGTGTTTTTATGTATTTGTGTAATGTTCATGCAATGACTCCACTAAGGAGGAGACCCAAAGCAATC